GAGTTGGAAAGCACCCAAAACTTCGGGTGCCCCTCATACATTTCCTTGCTCTCAAGAAATTTGACCTTGCACTAAATTTAGGCAGGCAAGTAGAGTACGACGCGACCTCAGATGCGCTCCACTCGCGCCGCCTATGTCAACTACCGAGAGGCGGCTCTCCCGTTCGCAGAAGACATGATGGCGGGCTAACAAAGAAGCTATGACGCTACGGGCTGGAGGCGGGGATCGTGTAATCCGTCGATCTTACGGATGTTAGTGACCCACCCCCTTTAGGCAGTGGAGTGGAACAAAACGCAAGTAACGACGTACCGGCGCCTATTTCAAACAGGAGGGCTCACTCTCGTCGCGCCAGAGTCTTTATTTAGCACAGCGCCATCACGAAACGCTCGGCAAATTCAGGCGTCGCCTTGAAGTGCCGCATGTCCACAACTATGAGCGGTGTAGAGAAAATTGCGAAGGAGGGATAAAAGGCAGGCGAGCTCGACAGCCATTTATCATCACCAACTACTTCATACTCGTTCAGACTTACCACTCCTGTCTTATTCACCTCCAAACATGAAGATTTCCGTCCTGTCCACATTCGTCTTCCTTGTCACCCTTTCGACGTCAGTCATGGGGCAGGCGTAAGTCTTATTTCTGTCACCTCCATTTACTACCTACAGACTCACACGTGCCACTATAGCGCCTTCGCCGATGACGTTGACGATCTCATGGCCCGCGAGCCCAGCCATGACGAATCCGTCTACGCCAGGGAGTCTGTAGAAGACCAGCTCGTGCTGCGAGGCCTGGAGGAAGTCCGCCGTAGGAGCGAAGACCACGTATGTCCCTGTTCTCCCCTTACACAGCGAATTTCGCTCATCCCTCGTATTCATATAGCTTCAGTTTGTCGAGCGCTCCCTTGAGCTAATCGAGAGGCGCAGCAAGTATTCGTGCTACCAGGATTGCATCAGGAGGTTTACTGGATCCAACCTCACCAAATGCTACAAGAATTGCGATGGCTTGTGGGGCCCGAATGGCAGAAAGTAATCCTTCAGGCTGCGAAACCCCATATGCACATGTTGCAAATACAGTCGTAGCCCTCCGTATTCTTTCAGAATTTCTTCTTCTTTCCGTCCTAATATTGACACTCGTTCACCTTCTTGTTCTCGTTGTCCACGCCTTCGGGCTTGGCTATTCGGACGTAAATTTTATTATCTATTAGCCTGGAATCCTGTGAGCATTCGTAGTACGTAGACCGTATTAGGAATTTGCCATTCGTTTTTATTTTTCGTGGTTCCGAGGTCCTTCTTCCCGGCTACAACTTCACCATGACGAGGCTAGGATTTACGTCCTTGGAATGCACGCCTACGCACGAGGCCCTAGTATATACAACTGTCGACGCATCGGCATAGCTTTTTACATGAAGGCTATTCATCCCAGGTTTGTCGATAATAGGTACCTCGTGTCTACGAATATGCAGTTCTCACTTGTCGATGGTTGAGTCCGAGACCACCGGCGAGTAGCCATGCGGAACTGTGCCTGGTCCCGACGCGACATCTTGGCGCCCACCTTCGGAATCGGAAACGATAAGGGGATATTTCCGCTCTAGCGCCCGTTATGACACTCCCGGTCCCCGGGTTCCAAAATCCAACCTCCGAGAGTGCTCCACGTGTGGCGTTCTCTTCGAAGTCTGTAGTATGAACGTTCGAACGTTCAATATTCAATGTTGACAGACACATCCACGCTCCCATTCTCCTGCCTTTTTTTATTTAGTCCTTCTCTCCCGAAGCTGAGCGACGCTGTGCCTAAATCTCTCTCCACCGCCTCGCCCCATCGCCTTCTCAATTCGACGAGATGCCAAGCATCTGAAGCCCGCGTGATATACTCTCGAGTCAACACGAGTAGCCTGGTAAATGTTGGAAGCCTTATCAGTCTGTAAGTGAACAGCCTCCCTTTGAATTCCTGGGTACATAAACAGAGTTCGTCATTCTCGCTTCATTAATCTAGAAGTACGACCATGTCCAGAAACAACAATACCAGCGTCTCTCCTCTCGCCATCACTTTACCAGTGATTGGGGTCATCCTACTGGCCATGATCATCGCCAGTTGCAGGAAGAAACGCCTCGGTGAGGTCCTCATAGAAAATTCTACTCCAACACCTTGAGACTGAAATCTTTTCAGAAGACAGAGTGGTACGGGAGCCCACACCTCCTGTTCTTCCGCAATATTCGCGACAGCGATACGCGTCTGCAAATATTCGGGATACACCAAACATAACCACTTATCCACCTGGTGCAAATGATATATCCGCCGCGTACCGCGTTCCTTCGACTCATCGACAATCGGCTTTCCCTGTCCCAATGACCGACATTTCGCGGCACAGTTCACCTGAAATCCCAGTTCCAACAACACTCCTCGAGCGCATGAAAGAGGTGCAACAGCTGATGTTGGAGATCCACAGGTTGGAGGGTCGTACAGGAGTGACTGCAGAAGAGGAGATCAGCAATCGCGAGAAGATTGCAGAACATCACCAGAGGATTACGATACTCAGCGAGGTGGACAGCCAGCCCTCGGTGGATGCAGGAGCGACGTCGAGCTCTTCCCCCGAGATACGCGAGCCACCCCCTGCCTATGCGCCGGCAAGGTAGCATAGGACGCCTCGACACAGCTTTTCGGATGAAGGCTGTTCGTCCCAAAGTTTCGCGACGACTAGACCCTCAGCTCTACTCCTCGCCTATAACGATTATACTGTTAAGTCAAGGACAGCTCGTAGGGGTGATTCAATCCGAGATTGACGATGCGGAAATCACGATGACCTATTTTTAGAGTGGCGCAACATTTTGGCGCCTCCCCTGCCAATTCGGGAATACACTTCCGTCCTTCCTTCTCTCAACAAGGAGGCTTCCTTACCGAATTCCCTATCTCATATGCGCCTACAGAATGATTTTCGCCATTGACAGTCAAACAAATGACCGTCATTGCTCGAATTTCATCCCATGACGTCTACACAATCCTGCAGGCTGTATTTTTCATCCATATATTGTATCACTAATATAATATTCTACCCGCGTATGCCCAAACGATAACAAAAGCCCACTCTGTTCATATTTTTACGATCACCAACCTGCCTGTCCCAAAAGTTTCCTCTACGCAACGATCCCTAACATCTCCCTCTTGAATGTAATATTATCTTTAAGCATCGTATTGCGAATTTGCAGTCAATTCGACAATATAACTACCTGCAAAGCTGAGAAACATCCAGACTCAGGTGCATTAATGCCCTTTATCCGTATTGAATGGACCACCGGACGCCGATTTTGCATCGTCCAATACGGGTCCTTTAGATGCCCAAAATCAAAGGGCCGTTCCGGTTCGGGTAGTATGACGGTCCGTTCTGGACAAAAATACACGATTGAAGTTTTTTTTATGAGAAAGCCTAATTTAGGCCGGAACCAGACCGAATCTGCCCGAATCTGCCCGTTTCGTACTGAAACCGACGCTATCCTCCCGGATCCGCCGTCTTCGTACCGTCTCTGCTCGATTCGGCCAGATCGACCCTCCCTTTTTTTATGACCCATCGTTCCGATACGGGAGGAATCTGGCCGCGCGGGACGATTCGGGACGATTCGTACGGATTCCTCCTCAATTCTTTTTTTAAGAAACATCTAGTGATTTTTTTCCCCTCGTGTGTGGTCAGATTCGTCCCGAATCCGACCGTTTGGGACCTTATGATCTAGAAAAAAATTATAGTTTCGGTCAGAATCGGTCAGAATCGGGAGGATGTGTCACAAATCGGCAGGGGTTTTGGTTTTTTGTTTGGATGGCGACCGAAACGGGTCTAATCGTTGTGTTTCCTGCGTATTGGGACCGAATCGGACGGATTCCGCCCAATTCTTCCAGATTTGGGAGGGACTTATAAAAGAAAAACATATGTATGTATTTTTGTCCAGTATGGCGCTGCATAGGGTACGACGCCATCACGGACGCGATGTACCAGGACGTGGTGTATGTGCCTAGGACTGAAGCTAGTGGGAGGGTGGATAGTTGGAAGGAGTGGTCGAGGTGGAAAGGGTGGATTTTCGCTTTAATTTTAGGAGTCTTTGGGATGGGATGGTCCTAACGAGGGCATGATTCGATACCTCGTATACTTAGGTGTACGGCGCCTGTATAGATCAGAGATGCTGTCCTATCAGTCAGCAGAGGACGGATGTATGTAGCTCCAGAGGTTTGCTATTATATGAAACAACTCCTCTAGATCTTGCGTTCATGCGAGTTGGACGGCCGCCCCTATCGTCCATTGCCGCTGACGTCAGCTTCCGGACCGGCCAGGAAATATCTGATCCAGCATTTGTCAGAGCAGTGACCTTCATCGCTCCACAACGACTTCGAAATCTTCTTTTCTGCATCCACCACCACCCATCATCGTTACTCCGTAATATCTACATCTAGGATGGCACAAACTCCACCAACGCACCCAAACGCGGAGCTTCTCCAGAGCGCGACGAAGGGGTTCGACTTCCTGTTTTGCAACGACATCGTCAGTGCCAGGAAGCATTTCGAGCCCAAAGATGACCCGTTTCACCTCATGGGTCTTGGGGTCTGTGCATTCCTGGAGGCAGCGCTCGGGATGGAGGTAAGCATCGATATTGGCTCGTTGCTGTCCTTATTTCTGAGGTGGTGTCATGGGGAAGACGCATAATGGGCTGTTCATCCCTTTCTCGTCGACGGTTGGATCAGTGCTGATTATCTGGCTTTGTTTCTGCGTTGTCTAGGCTGGACTTATGACAGAAGCCTCACGATGCCTTGCTCTCTCCGAAGCTGGTGCACGAAAGCAAATGCGCGTTCCCAAGCCCCGCGATCTGAACTTTCACAGTAGATTCACATACGGGTTGGAATGGGAGATCCTGAACGCGGATGCCGTCGTGCTACTGGGTCTGACACACGCCCTGAGGTGTGTGCTCAAACGTGTCGAGTGGATGATTGATGATTGATTGTGGTGTGGATAGCGAGAGTTATATGGGCTATTTGCAGTGCATGTGAGTGTCAGGGTCCTTTTTTTAACTACTTCGACGCCGAGCTGACCACATTCAAGGTACTCTCTGAACAGGTGAATAGACAGTCCAGCCCGACGATATGACCCTTTTCTAAACTCTCGAAAGTGCACACTCCAAGTTTACAAAGTCGGTCTCCTTCACCTCATAACATCTTCATCGTTCTTACACGTCTTTAGACTCTACAAGACGGTCTTCCCTGCCGGCATACCGGAAGACTCGCCCTTGAAGCCCCTACCCGACAACCTCTCGCCAACAACCTCCCGCCTCCAAGTTTCGCCAGCCCACCCCGTCGCCAGCCTCGGACACAAATCCTCCGCAACCTCTCTCGCCTCTTCGATCTCAACAACCAACCCATCAGCCAACCCCGAACCGCCCAAGGCCACCTCGAGCTTCTTCTCTCGTTGGGTCGGCTCCGCTGCTGCAGCCGCCTCAACACCGACACTGCCACTCCAGACGGTGAATAGCGCGGTTGCGCCGGATGGGCCGGTGGAGGACTTGGTTGTTGCTGGGACGGCGTTTGGGTATGGCCTGTTTAATTTGGTGTTTTCGTTGTTGCCGAAGAAGATCCAGTGAGTGTTGCTTTCGTTTGAGGGACGATGGATGTTGACACGGACGTGGGCAGAGGGTTGGTCGGGTTCTTTGGGTTCAAGCATGATAGGAAGCTGGCGTTGAGGGCGTTGGCGCTCTCGGCTGCGAAGGACGACGTGCACAGCGTCTTTGCTGGGTGGGTGTTATCCTTTGGATACCCTTGCAACACCTACTGACGTTGACTTAGATTGGTGTTGATGACGTACCATGGCGTCGTTCTTCTGTTATCAGGATACCAGGCGAACGAGGAGAAGTTGCTGAAGGAGTATAAGGATATCGTTGATCGGTAGGTTCTTGAACGTCTTGCTGTTATTGCCATCGATCATCGAGACTGAGAATGGTTTTCTGTTGTAGCATCGAATCGCGTTACCCAGCCGGAGCCTTGTGGATCCTGAATCGCGTTCGTCGGCCCCTCTTATCGATCTCTTCAGTTCGCCGTCCTAACGAACGTGATTCGCCTACGTAGGCGAAGATCATGCGCATGTCGTACGACGCCGAGAGTGCGATTCGTGTCCTCCAGGATGGGCTGAAGCCTGGTAGGCCGCACTCGTTCGCTCAGGCTGACATGTTGGTACGCTCAGTGTCGTTGCTTTATCCATGGTAGATCGATTATCTAATTCGACGTACAGCTCATTTTCGAACTGGCATGGACTCTTCTCGGACAGAGACGGTATCAGGAGGCAGCGGATACCTTCATGAAGATCACGGAGATTAATTCTTGGTACGTTTTCTCATCTTTCTATCCAACATTCGTGGCTCAACGTTTGTGATTCCAGGTCTCACGGAACGTACTACTTCATCGCAGCAGGTACCGCCTTTCTTCCAAATTCCTGTCTTCTTTCGAACAACGTTGAACTCCCTTCTAGGATGCTACATCGCTCTCGGCCAACGAGACAAGGCTCAAGGCATGCTAGACGCGATTCCGGACTTGATCGATAAGAAGAAGCTGAGTGGGAAGGATCTGCCGACGGAGGTCTATTAAGAAGAAACGTATGTGGTCATTCAACGGTTCTCTTTCGTTCAAGAGCTGATAGCCTGCTCCTGCTCTCAGTGGCGTTCTACAAGGAGAAGCATGCACGGAGAGGCGGAGACGGAGTCAAAGTGGGTCGAAGTTGTTAAGATTAATCTTGCTGAAGGTTCGTTCAACTCTTACTTTCTTATCTCAATTATCGTTAACTGAATGCCGACTTGCAGAAATTGCGATCTGTAAGACCTTGCCTGGTTCTTTCGATGCCACATTCTTACGATTATCCTCGTTAATCCAGTCTGGAACACACATACTCGGATAGCACCGTCAATCGCCCAATCGCACATCGACGAGCTCGTCGCCCTCTCGCCCAAGCTTGTCGTAGAGATGAAGGAGCCAACAACTCCAAAAACACCGAAGACACCAAGACACAAAACACCCAAATCGCCGCTGAGCGCGACGATCAGGTCGTTGCGTTCGCTCGACATGGCCTCCTCGCCAGCCCCTTCCTCTCCAACCACCGCCACCACCACCTCTACTGCTCTCTCGACGACAAGTTCCGTACCTACGTCAGATGCCAAGGACGACCTCGACACGAACGATGAGCTCGCCGATCCGGGCCCTGCTCATTGGTATCACCGCGCGAACGGCAGGTGCCTACGGGGTATCGAGGCGGTACCTCACGCAGGCGCATGCGTATCAGCAACAGGGATTGATTAGGGTCAGCACATGGGTCGGTGGGATCGCGATGTTCGAGTTGGCGGTGTTGGAACTGCGGGACGTCGAGATGTGGATGAAGGGCACTGGAATCGTCAACGCGGCTCCGGCTACGGCAGAGAATGACGACGTGAAGGAGAAGGAGAAGGAGAATGGTGGTGTTGGCCTGACCGTCAACATCGATGCGGTGGAGGACGCTGGTCCGGGTACGCTCTCGGAGAAGAGGACAAGAAGTCGGTGTGGGACGAGGCATTGACAAGTGCCAGTGCGAAGCTGGACGTCGCGCTCGGCCTTGCGGGTAGCTCGATTGATCTGTCGAGTCGGCTGGATACGAGGATTGCGATGCTTAGAGATGAGATCGCGTTGAAGAGGGAGATGTTGGGTATCGTTGTGTAGAGGGCGGGTTTTGGGATATGTACATTCGAGGAAGTAGAAAGGACTCTTGCTGTCATTTGGACGTACGCTATAATACAGTCTGCGGATGAAAAACATAGGCTATAGAAATGTGTAGATACAATGTCATAAAGGTGATTTTAGGCATTGAGCAATGACAGCCACTTGTTCAACAACCGTGATATTTTGTAGGAGTGAGCTCCGATTATGACCATTATAGGCTATTACTTAGTTATTAAAAATGTTATTAGTTAGAAACTGCGAAAGGGGGTTGAGGATTTCCGTACACCAGACTGAGAATCTCCGCCACCCTAAAAATAGGGGCACTTCCCCGACATGTTCTAGCAACCGATCACAATGTTTCGAGGACATTGCAATAATTGGATATACCAGGACTTCCAGGTACATAACCTTCCAACATGGTTTGTCATGAGCGCGAACACTCTGGCACATGAGGTTAACTCATTGTTCAACGGGATGACCGTTTGAACTCTGGAAGACGAAAACGAGTGTCGAGCTTCGCATATGAGCCACGTACACAGTCATTTGATAGCTAATAAGTAGATGAATTCAAATAAGTAAATACGGGGAGAGGATGGGCGGCGAAGGTAAACAGAAAAAGAACGTGTTTTGCAAGTTATGAGAAGACGAAGGCGGAGACATGGGGTACGACGATCCTCGTAATATGTGATGTTTCGCTGCAAGCATTACTTTTTGCCATGCGGGCCCCAGGATTTGTCGCACTTCCTGTAGCAATTAGTGAGGTTGGCTCCCGTAAACCTCCTGATGCAATCTTGGTAGCACGCGTATTTGCTGCGCCTCTCGAGAAGCTCAAGAGAGCGTTCGATGAACTGAAGCTACATATATACGGCGGTTGAGTGGAAATTCCACGCGTAAAGGTGGAAGAACAGACGTACGTGGTCTTCACTCCTACGGCGGACTTCCTCCAGGCCTCGCAGAACGAGCTTGTCTTCCACAGCCTCCCTGGCGTAGACCGCATCGTCGTGATCGAGCTCTCGTGCCATGACCTCGTCAACGTCGTCCGCGAAGGCACTATAGTGGCATGTGTGAGTCCGTCACGTTGTGAGCAACCAAGATGGAGACGAGACTTACGCCTGGCCCACGACGGACGTCGAGAGGGTGACGAGGAAGATGAATGTAGAGAGGATGGAAAGCTTCATTTTTTCCAGTAAATGAGTAGGTCTGAACGAGAATGAAATATTTGTCGGTGATGTCGATGAATGCCACCAGAATCCCCTTGCCTTTTATCCCTACTTCGCACTTTTCTCTACGCCGCCCACAGAGATGGGCAGGGTAGCGCTTAAGGGCCATGCCCGAGCTTTCCAAGCGCCCAATGATGGCGGTTTGACAAATCAGGGCCTTGGCACCACAAGAATGAGCCTTCCCCTCGCTTAGCGCCGCCGCCGGTCAGTCGTTCCTAGCGCTGTGGTGCTCCTTGGCACGTTTCACTAGCCAACATACTGATCGGCAAATTATATAAGATCGACGGCGTGTACGATCTTACAGCGTTGTGTAGTTAGCCCGGCCTCGTATCTTCAGCGAAAATGATGGCCATCTTCCCGTGGTACGCTTGGAGGCACAGCGAAGAGGTCGTATCTTAGTCATTCCACTGATTTAGGACGCGTAAAGAGCGGCTTTTTGCCGAGACAACTCAGCCTGCGATTGGTTTTTTCGGTGCCCTCTATGCCCTGCTCACTTTGCTTACTTGGTACTTGAAAAATGGATCTAGGTTGCTAAGTGATAAGCCCATCCCCGCCAAGCGCCCCGACACAAATGACGGGCCCGCGATTTGTACCCTGCTCATCGGTGTCATGGCGCGCACGACAGACGAGTACGAGGTGTCGACAAGGCAGCTCACGCAGGCATATGGGTATCAGCAGCAGGAGTTGGACTGTGCGCCACAAAGCCCATACTTAGATGTAAATACGGCGATCAAATGGAGAAACTCGTATTCTATCCGAAATTAATAAATTGACGGCAGAGATGAGGAAATGGAAGTACGCCTTCAAAAGTCGTTCGCAACACTGCTTCCGCCTAGGATCACAAGATACGACTCGTACCATAAAGGCTGAGAAATCCGCGCTCGACCATTTCATGTCGAAAGCAGCCTCTCTGTCTCATACCGGAGCCGTGCACCCGAACGACGTAGCAGCTCCCGATTGCTCGAAGGTCGCTTTGATAGACTCACCAGCTCCCCACATCCCAAGACAAGCCATCACCATACCCCCGAGGAAGAGAATAAAGTTGAAGAGTTTAAAGTACCACCTTCCTCCGAACAGACCCTGGAGTCTTACTCAGACTTATGATCAAAAATAGACCTCGACGTGTCGACTTACCCTCTTCCACCTCGACCACTCCTTCCAACCATCCACCCTCCCACTAGCACCGGATCCTGGCACATACGCCGCGTCCTGGGACATCGCGTCCGTGATGACGTCGTACCCGAACCGGAGGAGCGGCGGGAAGGAATAGGTGAATTGCATGATGGCGATGGCCGCGATGAGGCCAGTGATGGTCTGTACTTGCGGGATGGCGGAGCCAATAATAAAGGCGAGTGCCCAGTAGGCGAATACCATGACTTCGCGGACGTGTTAGACAGGAGGAGGAAGAAAGGGAGGAAGACGTACTCGTCCAGATGACGCGACCTTTGGGCGTCATCAGTCTAGGACCGCCAAACCAGTCCTCGATGATGTTGATGTAGATGACCTCTGATAAAATGAACGTCCATTCAAATCTAGTTTTCAGGAATTGAATGGAAATTAGACGCACTAATTCCGATGTTTCCGTAGAGTCCAGCAGCAATGATTCCCGTAATGAGTGCGATTACATTTCCTGAGGAAGTAAAATATTTAGCATTTGGAACGTTGAAAAAGAAATATGGACGTACCGAGTGTCTGCCACGCAAACTTGCTAACGCCCTGGAACGCAAGCGGAAGGGTGAATTGGCCTTGGAATGCCTAGCAAGTATGCCCCGATTCGATCATCATACCAGGGAGAAAGGCTCTTTCCACTTACATAGACGAAGGCCCCATACAGCAGATACGCCACGAAAATCAACAGCTGCGCAAGCGTCATGCCCTTCCAGAAGTCCATCGGGCGCCTCATCTCAGCCATCATCTCGGGGAAGATCATCGCTCCGCCGTATGCGAAGACCATGTTCATGATCCCGTTGACCTTCTTGAACAAGGGGAGTGTGCCGAACAACTGCGTCTGGACGGGACCAGGGGACACGCCGAGAGATTGCATGGCCGCGGCGACGTTGGGCGGGCTGTGTGCCACGAATCCCATAGAAGTGAAGATAATGATGAGATTCAGCCTATGAGAAAGAGCGGAGTCAGCTCTCTCCGCAACGTCTCAGGAAGAGAAAGGCTTCTTACCAAACAGCGCCGTTCGCGAGCCAGCCGTAATTCTGTAGTTTGTGTTAGTTCGAAGTCGCAAAATGAAAAAGATGTCTGAACCTTGAGCGTACGAATTTGTCCAATAACGAAGCCGACTACGGTCCAAATAACGATGCAGACCGAGAAGCAAAGCTAATTGAAACCAACATGAAGAGTCATTTCACTGCATTCAGAGACCATCTTACCCTCCCTTTGGAAATCTGCGAAAGTGATTGTCCATTCGCGAGACAAATTGTAGCGACCTAACGGCAGGCCATCAGCACCACCGTCGGCCACACGCGAAACGAAATAGAACTTACATTAACCAACAACTGAATACTCTGCAGGATGTTCACCACATGCCTCGCCCCGCGCCCGAAGATTCGTTCAGCTATGTCAGCGTACGTCTTCAGTGGATATCGAACAGAATCTAGGCGAATGAACAGCCGCCAAAGGATCAACCCGGTGTAGAGCGCCATAATGCCCACTGATCACAGGCCGCATAAGAGAACTAAAATTAGGATGGAGCGAAACAGAAGACGGAGTGCATGGGACGTACTAACGAAATAAAGCACTACTCCTTTCAGACACAGGACATATTATTAGAAGCAGTTCCTGAACCTCTAAAAAAAATAGAGTCGCTTACCAGGAACCCACCCAACCTGCGATATGGCATACGGAGCATTGAACGGGCCCAGGATGTCCGTCGTGATGAGATAGAAAATCGAGCCCCACCCTGCCAGCCTTAGCGCTCTCGAAGCGTTGGCTCTTTCTTCCTCGTCGGCCGTCATCGGTATATCCGCCTTCTTCTCTACAACAACAACGTCGATATTTGGACCTTTGTGCGCCGAGAGTCGAGAAAGCCAGTTGCCTTGAGGGGGGGTAGGAGAGTATTTCCCGGCGAGCTGGTCCTCTTCGAGCCGTTGGAGGGCGGCATAGTGCAAGAAGTCCTCAAAGACGGCCTTCGCGGTGAGAGCTGCGGAGTCGTATGAGAGAGATTCGCGCTCTCGCTCAGAGAGTGCGATCTTCTCGTCTGAGTGGTGCTCGTGGATTGGTTCGGAGAGTGCAGTGTTCGCGATTCCGGTGCTCGTCATCTTGGATTATCGATTGGCGTTGGCGAAGAGCTCCTGAGGGACGGATTGCTAGAGATTGTACGGAGAACTAATGTAGACTCTTTTATATACGGGTAGATATGATGAGAACTGCTCACTTGTCGTTCCGTGTCGCGCATGTCGGTGGGATCCTTTCCTATTTTTAGAACGGTAAGAATAGACGCGACTATTTACTTGATGGGGCCCTCGGACAGCGTTGTGTTGGCCATTCGGATTCTTCTCTAGTACCCGTGGAAAAGGGTGAGAGACGGAACGCTTGAAAGGGTATCTTGAAGAAACGCAGTGGTCTGAAGGACGAATAAAGATTATCGAACTAGAATGTACGGTATAGATGGGTTAAACTCACCATGCGGCACGAGCTAATTTTGAGCTCAGATAACAAGTAGAGTCCTACTCGCAGTTGAGTGCTGCGCAGCACCTGTCAGACATGCAAGGGACGTCATGAAAAGACAAACGCAAGGACACCCGAAGGCGAAAACCACGCACGCCTCATAACCTTCCACCCTCAAAGCTAAAAATACGGGCGCTGTAACGTTGAATTCTAAATTTCGCAAGACGGCAGGCACGACGAGCGAGATATGGCGATAGCTCACCGATCCACCTTGAGATACGTAGACGTCGGGGACCAAATACCTTACCGACACCTGACTTTCTGTTTGCGATCTTCATGAGGCTGCAGCCAGCGATCACCATATCTAGAATTTTCAAGAGGAAACTCAGATTGCGAATCATTCGCATCTAATGAATAAGAGCACCAAAAACGAAATAGTTTAAACGATCAACGGTATCTTACAAGTAAACCGAATAGCTCTTCCAAAGCGAATTCCAGATTCACGCCCGCGCCTTTCTCGTTCCTCACACAGGGGCCTTGCACCCAAACGAAGTCGCAGCACCCGACCGCTGGAAAATCTCCTTGATAGACTCTCCCGCACCCCACATCCCAAGGAAAGACATCACCGTCCCTCCAAGGAAAAGCACGAAATTGAACAGCTTGAAATACCACCTTCCTCCAAAAAGGCCCTGTCCACACGTCCAATTCAGCTCTATCATCCACTAAAAATCATGCCAGGAGCCTTACCCTTTTCCACCTCGACCACTCTCTCCAGGTGTCCGTCCTCCCAACCGCGCCCGTACCGGGGACGTACGGCGCGTCCTGGATCATGGCGTCTGTGATGATGTCGTACCCAAGCCTGAAGAGAGGAGGGAAGGAGTACGTAGATGGCACGGTGGCTATGGCGGCGATAAGGCCGGTGATGGTCTGCACTTGCGGGACGGTGGATCCAGTACAGTGACCATTACTACGCGGGACGTCGGTCCGTGAAATCGACGGGAACTTTCGAGAGTCGAAAGGGACCCCGCCCTTTCCGGGACATTAGCTTGGGTCCACCAAACCGGGGGATTCTATTCGCGAACCCCCTTGGTTTGCGAACCCCTCCGGGAGATCAAAGTTTAACGGCACTTCCGGCCGACCAGCCGCAACAGGCAGGAGCCGTGACTGGCCGGATTAGGGTGCCGGAGTAGCGCCTGCCATGACATCATACGTTTGCCTGCGCCTGCATGTACTTAGGCCTTAGGACTCACCTGAGGAAACCTGGCGCTCGACGAACGAGCCAACAATGTCGACATCGCCCATCCGTGACCCGCATTCTCAGCACTCGCGCAGGTCATCTAAATCTGCATTCTTTTGTATTCGGTGCCTGACTAATCTCTCGACTTCAGCCTAGCAGACCATGACTGCCAGTGAGGCATGCTGCTATTATCCACGCACCACGTTGAAAGGCACGAGGACGAATGAAAAAGATAATCTTCGGATATGTTGTGGGGGTTCCGGGTGGGTCCTTCCTCTTCAGCGTCAATAGAAGATCCCGAGCAGTGAGAAACACTCTTCCTCGCTCATACATTTCTGAAGGGAGGTCACGAAATTGAGCTGCACCCTCGTGTACCCTTCTTTAAGTGCGCAAAAACCTTCAACTAAATCATGATTTCCACGTTTCAATTCTGTTATCGTTGCTGATATCACCGCTTCCTCCGAGGCTCTGCGCTCGTTGCCTCCTGCCCTCTGGTATGGTCAGATATGTCACCCATTCTTTCTGACCTATCCTCTCCACAGATTATTTTTATTCTCTGTGATGAGCACCTGGCATTGACCATATTGTTCCTCATGCACTTGAGTCATGAGCCTTGTTCCTGCTGTTGGAATTCTGCATTGCATAATGCGGTGTCGAGCGCCGCATCGCAGGAGCGGTGCGTTGTCGCTGCGAGAACGTAGGCAAGTAATATTTTGCATCTTATTCTTTCCGGGCGCTACGGGCAAGCGCCACAAGTAATTACATTTTATCTACGTTGTAGGTAAGCAGTGGATAATGGAATTGAACCCTCGCGCGATTGCGAGGGTCCCTGTTCTCACTCGAGTAGGCGACGCGGACACGTTTATTTAAACACCTGCTCCGTGGCCAGGGAAGCAATCACCATTTACTACGTTGATTCCAATTTCCAGCGCTGCTGCCGAGGCTGAGCCAACTTATCAATCTTTAAGAAATATCTATGGGATGGCAAAGGTAGGGCCACACCAGCATGGGTAGCCTTACCAATACGAGAGCCCTAATTACCACCCTAGAATACAACTAAATAACGACTACTTATTCTGTTGCTGCTGCGCTGCATGACAGTGTGGTGCTTGTGGGCAAGCCCCTATCCGGACCAAATGTCACAGCTGTGACAATATTTGTCATCCCGTAATCTCTCCGAAAGGCGTCCGGGATCTGGGGGTTCATGAGGGGTTCGCACAAATATGGGGTTCGTGAATAGAATTCCCCCACCAAACCAGTCCTCGATGATGTCGATGTAGATGGACTCTGCAAATTATACCCGTCAGAGTATGCCTAGTTATTATAAGGTTGGGGAGAAGGATGTGCTGATTCCGATGTTCCCATACAGCTCAGCTGCAGTGATTCCCGTTATCAGAGAAAGCGCGTTTCCTGAATTTTGAAAGCAAAGCACGGTAAGATCCCGCAGTATACTTCATATCAATGAGCGAAGACGCACCAACTGTCTGCCACACGAACCTGCTCACACCCTGGTAAGCAAGCGGCAGTGTGAATTGTCCTTGGAAGGCCTGAGCGTAGAAGATCCATGAGTCAAAATTCAATCCCAACAGTCGGATAAACACGACACCTACATAAACAAAGGCACCGTACATCAAGTACGCCACGAAAATAACCAGCTGCGCGAGCGTCATGCCTTTCCAGAAGTCCATTGGGTGCTTCATCTCAGCCATCATCGCCGGGAAGATCAGAGTTCCGCCGTAGGCGTAGACCATGTTCATAACTCCGTTGACCTGCATATCAAATGCCCCATGACGTGTTCTTTGAAGAGCAAAGGAAGAGAGAAACAGACCTTCTTGAACAGCGGAAGCGTGGCAAAGAGTTGCGTCTGGACTGGGCCTGCAGGAACGCCGAGCGACTGTGCGGCAGCGGAAAAGTTGGGCGGACTGTTCGCCATAAACCCTATAGACGTGAATATAATAACCAGGTTGACCCTGCGAAGAAAAAATGAACAAATAGCGGTGTTAGTTCGTCCAGAGCGAAATATTTCGGCGAGGAGTCTGAGGTCATTACCAGACTGCACCATGAGCGAGCCAGCCGTAGTTCTATAACAATCCGAACGTCGAATTAGCCTTTGGTCGAGAAGTGATGGGAAATGGAGAGAGTTCACCTTGAGTGTCCGGATTTGACCTATGACGAAGCCCACGATGACCCAGATGACGATGCAGACCGAAAAGCATAACTGCTTCCACAATGTGATGCCGTTAAAACACAACCAGCCCGTTTCTAAATTAAAATGTACGCACCCTCCCTCTCGTGATCTGCGACCACGCCTGCCCATTGGCCAAACAAATCGTCGCAACCTAAGTCCCAAAACAATCAGCACCGAGTGCATTCGTGAATTGGAAACTACGGCGATCAACTACGGCGATCACTACGGCGGCATCTGCCGGCAGTGACAGGCAAGTTCGTCCCACCTCCGTATTCTACGCCTTCCTCCATTGTATATACCCTATTCAACACGGAAACGTACAAAGCAGACATCAAGATTCTCGCCTGATAAAAGTGCCATCGCGCGTTGTCGCTCAAGCCTCTCGCAAAGACAGGCAACTGGCCCCATTGGATTCGCGAGGTGTCCTGCTCGAACACAAGGGGCCCTACTCGACCTACAAAATATAAACGGAGGCGAAGAACTGAAAACACAACGCAGGATCGATAGGACAACTCGTATGATGAAGATCGAGATCGAACACATCGACGGCGGAGGTGGGCGATGACTCGCACTCTCACCGCGCTTCCTCAGTGCCCTCGACCAAGACACCCCTACCACACCCAGCGGCGGCGACGATGGACAAGAAGCTCACGACGAGGGCCAACACACGTTCTATCCCCGAGATGCTGGACATAATCACACCCAACCCGTCGTGAGTGCCTCACCTCACCATCGACGATTAACACGAACTTACTGTGTTCTTAGGTGCTCGATAGGGCATTTCGACGACAGCGAGGCTAGCGAGAGCATCGATGGTACTGGAGGACGTTGGACCGAGATCGGTGTGGAAGATGGTGGGCCAACACGAAGATGGGCGGAGAACGT